GAACTATTTTCTTTTCCTTGTAAACTCATTTAAATGACAGTGACAGAAGGTGGGGAGGTGGCAGCTGTAGGAAAAAAAAGAAACAGGAACATTAAACCAGAGCGTATAAATTATTTCATCATCTCGAGACAATCCAGATCTGTCACCGCTCTGTGTGTGAGGGGTTTTTCTTTTTCAGTTTGATTTTTGTTTTGTCCAACAGCTCCTCACAGGCACAAGACATTGATGTATGTGGGAGCCTGATGGGAGAGTCTGCGCAGGTTTGGCTGCTGCAGCTCATTCTGCCTGCTCACCTGCCAGAGCTGCTGCCTCCACTAGTGAAGACCATGGCCACAGAGGTCTCTTCAGACATAGTATCTAGGTCACAGCCAGCAAAGGGAAAAATTAGTTTAGCTAGTCCTGTAAGGCTAAAGCACATTTTTAAGCCTGTATTAATTCAGGCAGAGGCTATTGCTTAGTTGCAGCAGTCAGGACCATTTCTTGATCAGGCAAAAGTTTTGAGAAGCAGGAGGTAGCTCATGTCAACTCACACCACTTTCAAATGAGTTTTTGACTAAGAAGCACTTGCACTACATTGACACAAGATTCCATTCTCACAGCAACATCCAGCAAGCCCAAGACTGATGACCCAGCGGATGGGAAGAACGGATGCTGCAGGATGCAGAGCAGCTCCTCTCTCCCCAGATCAGATGCTAACCATGAGAACACATATAATTAATCTTTTAAAAGTGCCCTAGCATGAAAAAAAGTGAAAAATTAGAAAAGAATAGCAATGCAGGTAGCAGCCCCCTTGACAGCTTGGTGCTAGAACAAGCTAGGAACGTCAACACCAAAGCCAAGAGACAGCAAAACAGTGGTGGGTTATCACAAAATGTGTTGGGACAATTTCACATTGTCTGGATTTTTTGGGGAATAAGCAGTAAATGAATTGATAAAAGCACAGAAGTGAAAGGCAGGGTTTGGGAGTTTTCTTCCTCTAAGGAGGGGAAAAGCTCTTCCTGTCTGATCTGTACCCCTCATGTCATAAACCCATCTGATGGAATATCACAGAACACCCTCAGTCAGTCCCCCAACTTTTAATGTGAGGGATTCCCAAGAGACAAGACAACACCCAGGTGAGAAGACATACATTCCTTTGAAACTTTATCATTCAGTTTGCTTAAGTGATTTTGCTTTTAGTAACCTTTCCAATAACCTTACGAGGAAGTGATGCTCAGAGAGGCTGGGTGCGCACCAAAACAGACACAGCAAGGTTTTGATGTCAGTGTCTGCTGTTGCACCACCACTGCCACCAGTGATCGTCCCCATTAAGTGGGGACAGCAAAGCAGTCCCTTGACAAAGAGCACAGGTTTTCATGCCAAACCACACCATGACTTTGAGAAAGTATCTCTGCCATGAAGCCAGACTCAGATTTGACACAAGTCAAACCAGACCAAGCTCAGATTTCCCTCTACAGATCAGAGATCTTCTGATTTACATTCGTTCAGGAGAGAAGCACTGTATACAAATGCACAAGGCATTAGCGTATTGTTATTTCTGAAGAATTTGAACTGTTATATTTCAAAGGGATATGTAATACCTAAGCATCTGGGCTCGTATATCTTTCTCATCATTCCTTCTGTCTTGAAGCAAGGTCTTGCTCTCTAAGAATCTAGACAAGAATAACACTCGAACAAAACAAAAACCAACCTAGCTGGTGATATATATGAAAGATGACATCTCCAGAAACCCCAGACTTCAAAGGGGCAGCTTTCAGCTCATGACTATCCACCTCCTCCAACCCTCAAGGCTAGTGTCATAATTTTAAAGCCACGGGAATCATTTGATCTCTCCAAATGGCAGCTCAGTGGTCTAACATACTTCTGGATGTCAAAAAAGTATGCACCGCCACCAGCAACATTCTGCAGGGGTTAGTCTTTGAAAAGACAGATTGAGGTGAAACAATCAAAAGATTCAGCAGCAGGGAGAGAAGGGGTGGAAAAGATATTTTAAAGGACAAATACATGCTAAGGGACTTTGTGGTCCTGCTTATTCAATGCTAGAGCACACGGCTGATGGCACTGTGGGATGTCAGAGGCTCCCAGGTATGATGGTCATGTCAGTGTGATGCATTAACCTCCAAGGACTCCTCCTAGACTCATACAAGAGCCTGTGGCTCATGCAAGAGGTGCATAAAGTCTGTTCACAGGATTAGGGAGAGCACATGAGACGAGTCATAAGAGCACAGGTTGCCCATGTGTCATTCCAGCAATGCCAGGAAGCCACCCTCCTCGTCATCACCCTCCAGAGCATGCTTGCAAGTACCAGCCCTCTGCCAGGACACTTGGATAGTGGGTGAAGAGGAGGGGACAGGAGAGGCTGCCAAGATAAGTAATTGGGTGCCTGCTGGTGAGAACTCTTAATTAGAGGCTTTTCACCAACTAAATGTTTATATGGAGTTAATGTATTTACTTTGATGTATACACACTGTAATAAACAAGCATCCTTCCTATGCTTCAGCAATTAAAGAAGTGTATTGCAAACAGACCTACCACCTCCCACAGATCAACTCACACAGTGACTGCAAGGAGCCAGCCTGCAAACCTGCCCCTCTCTCCTTCCCCACAGCCCAGAGGTGACCTACAGAACATTCCTGAGAGATGGGACAGCCACAGGTTTCCCAGGGCAATGCCATGGGTGACCATGCTGCTGGAGCAGGTGCCCTTAGTTCATGTGGGCTCAGAGGGTATGAAACTCTTCCCAGTCCAGCCTGGAAACCAGTATATCGAGCACGGTTTCCATACTGCAAACTGGGAGAAATATCTCCTTATAAGCAGGCCACCAAATTGTGCACTGGTGGCAGCTTCTGAACAGATTGGAAGCGCTGCATTGCTGCAGTTTAATAGAGTGAGTATTTATTCCTGTGTGGGAGAAAAACTCCATTATCTGGTTTATTAATTGTTAGTTAAGTAATGGGAAGGTGCCCAGAGCAGGATATGAGCCCTCATCACTTGTTATTAGCTGAGAAACCAGCAGAAATAAAATAACTGGAGATAAATTATCACAAGTGCGGCCCCAAACTGACAGATCTGCTCAGACAGAGGGGAATTCACAGAGCGCTCTCAGGAGGAAGAAAGAAGCAGCAGCATCAGTCCAATTATTATTTTTCTTTTTCTTATAAATGAAAATATATCATCATCTTTGATTTTGAACACCACTTTTCATGGCTGGAATCACATGGATTTTCATGGCTGAGAGGGTACCCCTCCTCCTGCAGGAAAACTCAATTTATTAGTCTATCACTGGGAAAGCAGGACAGACTTTGTATCAGTAGCACAATGCCACAAAAGGGGGGGGGGGGGAAGGTTGGTTTTTTGTTTGGGGTTGGGTTTTTTTTGGTTTTGCCTGTTTTAGAAAGCAACATGCTGCTGCAAATACCCTGGCCTGCTCACCACAGGGCCAATGTAGCCTCAAAAATACAGACAACCCCATTATCAGCAGAGGATCCTGGAGCAGGGGTGGGCGCTTCTGTAAAATGAGTTTAACAAGAACCTCAAGCAGCAGTCAAGAAACCAGCAGTGAAAAGATACAGGAGTCGTCTTGAATCCCTGAGGGGAAAAACCACCCAAGTTTCTCAAGCATTGTAATAGCTACCAGATCTAAACAAGAGAAGTCCAACCACACGTTCAGCATCAACATTCATTTCCCCAAAATCAGTCTTCTCGTAGTGGCCATATGTTCCTATTTTGCTGGTTCCCACGCCTAGGCATGGTTTTGAGCAGATTGCTTGTTCAGGCAGAGCATTCCCGTCTACGCACAACTCAAATACATGTGGAATAGGAGGATGTCAACAATGTAGAGGGGAAGGTCTTGAATCCAGAGGTGAGAGCAGAGTGCCCGAGGAACCCAGATCAGCAGAAGTCACTGTGCACTTATCAGTCAGACTCATCATCCCAAAGGAAAGCAGACCACGATGCACAGCACGATAGGCTACCCAACCAGAGAACATGCCATCACACTGAAGAAATTTAACCGAACTAATGCATTTAGGGCTATAAATCAGAAGAGGCAGAATTATAAAATAAAGGAAACAGTCACTTTTGTCCTTACAGCATTTGCTTAGAAAACTGATTTGCAGCACATTTAGCATTTTTATCTGCAGTTGTGTAACGAAAGATAGATATAAGGGAAAAGTACTAACCAGGAGAATGAGCCAATATCAGCAACCAGCTACAGCCAAAGCTTTAGTTTAACCTTGGATATCATAGCAGAAACTGAAAAAGGGTCATTGCCTGATCTAGGAGAACACAGAAGCATCCAAAACTGTTCTGCACCCATGCAACCATGATCTGCTCCCAAGGAGACAAAATACATGTTTCTGGATTTTCCAGACAGAGGATCCAGCCCCAGATTACTCCTACCCTGGTAGATTACAGCAGTTAAAAACATATATATATATATACCCACAGGTTTTACTGACATGCCTCATTTGGTGACCAAACACCAGAGTCTGTAAAAGAGTAAGTGATCTCTGAAGAATTAATTGTTTTCACTTTAGTCCCTGCAGTACATCCAGAGTTTGCCCTCCCTGCTGTCCACATTGCAGACACAGCAGGAGAGCTACTGCACCTTGAAGTCATCACCATAACCCAGAAAAAGCCCTGCTCACACCACAGAGCCCATTTTAAAGAAGTTTTACAAGAGCTGTGCCACTTTCAGAGTCTCAGCTCTTCAGGTAAGCATCTCTTACTCCATGTTTCATTTAATGTCTTCTAGAAATACAGCAACAAACACTGTTTCATCTGCATCCAAACTCATTCCCTAAAGCATTTGTTCGTGAGAGAAAAGACAGCAGGCTCCTAGCCCTAGAGGACTCCAAAAACACTGCACCTAGCTCAGTCTCTTCACTTGCATGTGTATCTCAAGTTAAAACAGAAGAATTTCTAACAGAGTAGCAGCCCTCTGAGAAATGAATTAGTTCAAATCTGTCCCACATACACAATCTCCAAACATTTCTTACCTGCTATCCCAAGTTTCCAAGTTTTCTCTAACTTCAACTTCCAGAATGAAGTAGAAAACCTCATGAGTGCCTCACTCCTGTTCTTGCAGCTACAAAACTGTTCACAGGTGGGCTAACTAGGGCAGGCCAATTAGGCCTCCCTAGCAAGATCCTTTTATTTAAGTGGATCCAGGTGTACCTTTCAATTTCTTAAGGTGCTTTCTTTGCTGCATCTTCCCAGAGAGGGTACTCTACTCTTAAACTGCTCATCAACTGAAGAATGCTTTGCAAATGCTGTATTTTTCTCCACATATCTTGTAACTTTGAGAATATGCAACTGATTTGAGAGAGCCACTGTCTAAAAAGGAGCTGTCTGTTCATTGCTACTACCTAATACCACAGAAGAAGATGAGCTTTTGGTGAAATGAAAGGAGATAGATGTGGCAGAGAGAAATTTTTCTCCATACCTCTATGTGTTGATAATATGTGTTATTATGTCATCATAGCACTCTTTCTCATGGTCAAATTGTAAGGTTTACATGCAAAAATATAGCACCTGTTATCAATAAAAGTATTTTTACCTAGCTGTGGGCTGCTGATGGGCACTTTGTGTCCTAATCTCATCTGAGATGGAAACAAGGCTCTCTAGATGCATAGCCATGCTTTGCCTGTGGAAGATGATCCTACCTTTCTGGCATTTTCTTTCCCAGCCTGGCTTGCTCAGCCTCTGAACTTAAGACTATTTGTGCTTAATAAAAAGGTCATCATTCACAGACATTTAATGCTGTTCCTCTGTAATGACATCCTTCGCAAGTCTCCTCTCCAGTGTCCTGGAGGGGTAAATAGCTGCACTACACTGAGTTTATGCTAAAACTTTTGCAAGGCTGAGGCTTAAGTGGCTGATAGGTAAAGCTAGAGAGTACTGGCTATAGGAAGGACACAAGCGTGGAGGTAGACAGGCAGAAAAACTCATGTCAAAGCAGCTGGTCTTAGCTCTTCCTCTCACTGATGCTGACACTGCTCCAGAGTCAGTTTTGTCTTGGAGAAAGCTCTCATGTACGTTGATTCTGCAAGAGGCAGAGACCAATCAATCAAGATTTGTCAAATACACTGGAGAACTCATTTTTAGGAGATAAATGCCTTCAGAGGAAGAGCTGGTAGACATCTACCACATGTTCAGCCTCCTTAATGGCAAAGTATGCAACGTTAATCCTGTCACTTTAAGGGGCCAGGTTCCAGCTGAACCATCTTCCAAGTTTCTTCCCCTTTCAGCCATCCTCTTCCCTTTCTTGTCCCTGTCCACTCGCAGGAAGATGAGTTGCATTCACAGACCTGTGAACCTGCAAATCAGGCTGATGCTCTTGGCAGCTGCCGTACCAAACCATCATTTATTTGGCGCTGAACCACCCTCTGTGCTTCAGCTACTTACACTGAATGGACTCATTTCATGCAAGCTAATTAGCAGCATGGGTAGAGATGCCTACTGCCTCTTAGCAGATGAAACTCACGCGTTGCTGTCCCACTGCAGTAGGACCTTGCCCTTACAAGCATACAGAAAAAGATGAAGTGGCTTGACAGACACCCACTTCTCAAAGCAATTATCAACAGCAGGTGATTGGCCAGGCTGATCCCTTAGGAGCCTGAGCTCTGCCAAAAGAGCAGCTTGGGAGCAAAAGCAGAACATGGGAGTCCCACAGCAACACTAGAACAAAAGAACCTGCAAGGACCTATGCTGTCTGAATAAGTTACAGAAGGGGAAAAAATCAGTGTGCGTCCAGCACATTATCTCCAGCTTCCTTCTCCTGCTCCCTATAACATTTCTTACTGTATTGCATCATTTGATGCCTTGAAACTTTGTTGTGTCTTGCACTCACCCATCCTGAAGACAAGTGAGGGGATTCCATGGCAGGGTGAGGGAACAGTCCTGTCCTGAGGTGTATTCATGATGGATACTTCACTTTCCACATGTCAATCCATTTTTAGGTGGAGACCTTTTATTGTTATACTGCAGATACTGCAGGATGACACCTGCTGTATTGGGTTGGCGTGGCCAGATTTTAGTAGCAGGAGGGCTATGGGGGTGGCTTCTGTGGGAAGCCACCAGAAGCTCCCCTGATGTCCAACAGAGCCAATGCCAGCGGCTCCACGATGCCACCGGACAAGGCGAAGTCCAACAGTGATGGTGGTAGAGCCTCTGGCATAATGTGTGTAGAAAGAGGGGTTGGGAACACAGAAGAAGATGAGCAGCATTTCCAAAGCCTCCTGGCCAGGCAAGATTATATTTCTGCAGCAGGACTTGATTTAACAGAACGGCAAAGAAGGATGGGTAGCAAGGACCATAAGACTTACTTCTACTCCCCCAGTCACCATCAGAAGAGTTCTCAAGAGGTGCAGCCATCTGCTCTTGCTGACCCAGGCTCTATTTGCCAGCAGAGCACCTCGCAGGTATGCTTGCTGCGAGTTTGTTTTCTGCTTCCCCTCTCACCCCTTCATACATCTTCCCTGCTTCTCAAGAGCTTTCAGCTAGAGGGCTGAAATAGCACCAGCATCATGCTCTCTGGGCAGCCCTTGCCCATACCCCCTCTCTCCAGGTGACTGATGATGGTGTAGAAATGCCCATGACATCCTTTTCCACAGGTGAATGCAGCAGTGACGGAGTGGCCAAGCTCACTGAAGTCAAGGTAATAACTGAACCATCATCTCTTACCCTGGGGCTGCAGGGTTAAGGGCACACTGCCCAGCCCAGAGGCAGGCCATCATTCAGCACAGCTCAAACAACGTATCTCCTCATGGGTTAAAACTTCAAGCCTTAATGATAGCAAGCACCTAAGGGCAGCAACCTGGCTGAAGGTAGGAGAGGGCAGCTCTCTATGACCTTACCCCTTCTCTTACAGGTTTAGTCATGCTGTGGCAAGGATGTGCACATGGGAAGAGCATCTCTCTCTGCAAAACTCTGCCTGCAGCCTATAAACAGTGGCAGGCTAGCTTACTGCAATGCATTTTCCCAATGCTACTGCAATTTTGGAAATACCTTTTTCTCTGGGCTAGTGTAACATTGCAATTGAGTTCCTTCTGTGTCATTGACATCACCAATGAGTCCTACATCCACCACAATAGGCAGCTGCCAAGCTGGGGATATGTAAGGATCTTGAGACCCTGCTGTGGGTCATAGCATAGGTTGTATTTTGGAAGAGAGGATCTCTGTCAGACACAGAGGGTCCAAGTATTCTCTGGATCTTTGCTAGAGGAGGGATGGATTCAATTCTCCCCTGCAGCAGGGATCGCTAGTGGCATACACCACGAATGTGAGAAAAATTGAGGCAAGATCCTCTAGACGAGGCAAAGGAAAACAACACAGTTGAAGAGATGCAAGGCCAAGGGAACACTCTACTCTGTCCTCATGTCATCTATCAGGGACTTTCAGAGCTGTTTTATAATGGAATCTGCCAAATCCCAAGTATATGAGCTTTCTGGGTATGAAGGACTTGTGTTCCCATCCCACCCAGGGGATCCCATCCCATCCAAATCCAGATCTCCAAAAACCACACAGTGGCAAGGTAAAGTAACCCATTAGTGCTGTGTCTTTCGGAGTTATTTATCACGTGCCACAGCAGTCTAGGGAAAAGACAGACTTGGACCAGCACATGTCATCCCACAAGGGCTGTTATGAGCCATTCAATAGCTCAGGAGTGTGGGTGATTCAAAATCAATTCAACAGGTTGTAGCAATAAGGGTGACCAAGAACCTACGCACTAATTTTATGGGATTGCTGTCAGCACACAAGGAAAAGATCAGAGCACGCCTCCATGAATGTCTGGGGCAACAGGGAAAAAAAACACAGCCAAAGTATTCTGCAGTCACAGAGCAAGAGGGAAGGAAAAAGGAGGAAAATAGATTAAAATCAGGCTGCCAATGCTCCAGACTACTCTTCTCTCACCCTAAAAAAGGACAAGGATTCTGAAAATTGGGAGGAGATAATCAGCAGTAAACATCTGAAAGTCAAGGTTTTAAACTTGGATTTATCTTTCCTTCTCAATTTCTACATCAGAGAAAGCAAGAATCTTCCAAATGTTCTATATACTGACATTTTTTACACCTTTTTTTTTTTTTTCCCTTTTGCTTGGCAATGAATAAAGGCTTGATTCCTACATCAAACCCTCCAGAGCCCAGCCCATAAACCACCTACCAAGGTTATCTCATGACTTACGGACAATGGGAGACACGGATTGTTGCATGGTTGCCCAAGGAAGTTGTGAATACTCCATCCCTGCCAGTGTTCAAGGTCAGGCTGGACAAAGCCTTGGGTGATATGGTTTAGTGTGAGGTGTCCCTGCCCATGGCACGGGGGTTGGAACTTGATGATCTTAAGGTTCTTTCTAACCCTAACGATTCTATGATTCTATGGCAGAAATCCTCCCCAAAAATTTTTTACTTGTGGGTGCAGGAGGTTCAAGGGATGGGCTAGATGGTGCAGTATCTTTTGGCTTTCTTTGGCTCCAAAAGACACAAGCCAGGATGATCTCTACCATGCATAGGCAGGTGAGCATTATGGAAAGGGTTGTAAAAGGCATATTGTTGCCATCTCTCAGCTCTGGGTTACCTCCCTGTTGCAAGAAGTTGGTGAACTCCAACCAGAACTGGAAAAAAGGAGGGTGAGGATGCTCCATAATCTGGTCCAGTGCAAAGTCAAATCAGATAGTTCAATTTCAGCTGCTTCTTCCCAGTCTTTCTGCTCTGAAACCAGGGATTTATCCAGACCAAAGGGGGAGCTGAGGGAAAGAAAATAAAAAAATAAAAGAAAAATAAACACTTCAGATACAAGTATTTATTTGTAGGTACTAAGTGATTTCTTGATTGATTCTGCAGCCTGCTGCTTACTTGCCTCTAGCCCTGACTGCTCAGAGTTTCACAGAGAAAGTCTTTTAGCTCAAAGAGAACTTTCAGGCTGAAACTTGCCTGATGTGGGCAGCAGGGCAGCAATTGGTTTGAAAAACAAAACATTGATGAAGAACATGAAACTAATCCGAAACCCTTTCAGCTAGATAGAGGCTTTGGTTTACCATCAGGACATATCTAAACATCTCCAGACCTAATAAAGAAGCATTATCACTACAGCGGATGCTAAACACAAGCATTACTTCTCAGGGGCGGAGAAGAAATAACCTGTATATAAATATATATATATTTATATATATAAAGACAGGCAGGTACCATGGTAGGCTCTCAAACTCACATTCATCTATTTTACAGTGGATATCATCAAAATTAACACAAGGATATACCATTACAGGAAAGGAATGGCTATCACACCTTTATACTAGCAACCCAAGCAGGATTTGATTACAGGATCTTTCAGCAGGTTCCCTTCCCAAGTCTTTGGCATTGCCATTTGCTCCAAGGAACACAAGGAGAAATACATGGCAGATCTGACATTTTTGGAGGCATTAGTAACACAAACAGCATAAACCCTTAGATCAGCCTCCTGCCTGCCAGGGTAAAGTCGGAGCAGCTGGGTATGGAAAGCAGCAACTTACTGAAATCCTGGATGTCCCAAGGAGAATCTGAGCAGTGCTTTTTAGTTTGTTCATGATTTACTGCATGGTATGGGGTTTCCCTTTTCAGCCTGGGACAACCCTTATTCAGAAACAGAAGAGTCCTGTGCAATTTATTACCTCTTCCCACCAAAATGCAGCAGTATAAACAAGATAACCAGATCTGTGACAATTTAATTATCACCCTCCCAAGGCAGCTGCCCTATCCCAACCCTGTTATGGAGCCCACAGTGTGCTAAAACCCCGCAACTTGGCTAGGATCTGCTGGGGAAGCCACCAGCAAAACATCTCCACAAGGCAGCTACCTTGGAAGATCACATCCTTCTTAGGTACTTTGCCACAAATTTGAGTAAACTTAAAAAAAAAGAGCCGAACCCTGACATTGGTCCCATACCTAGGGAAATGCACTGAGGTTGAGCCTGTCCATCAGGACTGAGGAATCCCTTTTTTAACTTGCATCACAGATGCCAAAGCACTTTGAGGTGCAGCAACTTTCAGGTAGCAGGAGTGAAGTATTTTCTAGAAAGGAGGGGACAAGGGGAGTCCTCTGGCAACGTAAGTCAGCTCAGATGGTGCTGGCTCACAGGTCCCTTCCTTTAAATTGATTAATAACGACACATTTAAATGGACAACATAAATTAATTTCTGAATTGCACCATTAGTAAGTAATTAATTTCTTTGCTCTGTGAAACTAAGATATCACTGTTATCTAAATCTATAAAGAGAAGAAATGCTGAACAAGGACTCCATTAATGTAAAAATTGATTTTTCCATTTACCCTCTTCTGAGGGGTTTTTTTTCTCCCCCCTCCCTCCAATGCGTTTATTTTTCAAGTGGGTGAGGGTAGGCAGACAAACCTAATTTATACTTCCAGTGGTAATCAAAAGATCATGCATGTTCATTTCAACCAAATGATGTCATTATGAAGGCTGTTAAAGCTAGAGTTGCCTTGGAAACACAAAATACTGATAGTTGAGGTTGGTCATCTGAGTTCTCTGTAGGCACAGTAATGAGGAAATGGTGTGGCCTGGCCAGACCTGGCCTGACAGGTCACACTGGGAAGATCATCCCAAGTTACTCAAATGGTCTCTTTAGCACTTATCAGGCTACCATTTTTCCTATTCCTCCTACCATCTGCCATAATCTATTACTTTTATGGAGCCAGGAGCAGAGAACTCACTCGGTTCAAAGGCAAGCAGAAATAATGAGGTATGTGGTAAGACTTGCTCATTCCAGCAGGAAGGGCATACTAGCCAAAGGCTGTGCACAGCTTACCAGCAGTTGGCTTACTTCTGCATTTCAACCCAAAAAGACGTACCTGATGCCTCTGCCACCCTCTTATTGCAGCCCTGAATACAGATGTACTGGGGACTCAGGGTGTCTCTCCTGACCAGAGCCAGGATCCAGCTGTAGCCAAGGTGTTAGATCCATCTTTCCAAACCAAGGAACTCAGACATGGTGCAGAAGATCATGGCAGCATCCTGATGCCCACTCCAGAGGGTAAGGCGCATCTTAAGAGAGCGAAGCTTTATTTTGGGTGCCCCCAAGCAAGGGCCTTCCCTTGTGAAGATCAGGACCCTCATTCTGGCCTGCAAAATAAGTCTGTCCCTCTTACAGACCTGGATTCTGTGAGGATGCCTTGACTAAGAGTTATTTGAAAAACAATTCCAGAAACAGAACTGGCATTCTATATACTACTTAAAAAAAAAAACTTTTTTTTTTTTTTTTGCATGCAGTGAATATTTCCATGTCTTTGCTGCCTAGATCGCTTTAGGCATCTGTCCCCACTGGTGTCATTTGTATGGGGCGGACAATGAGAAACGATGGACATGGGTTAGGCAGCAGACTTTGAGCAGCCCAGGACTTCTCCCACCAACAGAAAAGGATGCAAACTGGTGCTGTTTTCAGAACAATTTCCTGGGTCTCTTTAGCCAGTTCTGCTTTTCCCAGTTCAAGGCACTGGATCAAAAAGCTTAGGACTAAAATGGAGATGCGTAAGTACCACTGATGCAAAGAGACACATCTGCTGCTTCCCGCCACTGAGAAAGCCCAGTCCATCTCACTGAGGTCCTTTAGCTATGCCAAGCCATGCTTTCACAGTTCTTTTTCATGTCTTTTTTACCTACCCTGTCCCAGGAACAATGCAATGTCATCTCTGTTCACATCACACTGAGCTGAAAGACAACTTTAAGGTATGCCTTGGAGAGAAGGGGGCACAGCCTGAGCCATGTCTTCAAATGTAGGCACCGCATCCACTGCTCTAAAGAGAACAGACCAAGTTGAATTATTTACAGTGAGGATTTTGGCTGAATTTTTGTTTTGTTTTGTTTTTCTTTTCCTCCTCTTGTTAAGGAGCACAAAACAAAATGTGCATACAAACAAGCCAATGGGATGGAACATTTACTATCTGTGCAAGGAGTGTTAAATGAACTCAGTTCAGCTTCTCAATTAATATTCGGATGTCCCCTATTCACTGTCAGGGTATTTTTCACTTTGGTGAATAGGTAATGACATTAACATCACCATGTGCTCTTTCTCTTCCCTTATTGAATCACCTTTCCCTTACACACAGGAGTTTCTTCTAAGGTTCATCAATTGAAATTGTTTGAATGCACTGAGAAAAATAATAAAAAGAACATTTCATAACATTGGCAGGACCATTTCAGGCAGGCGCACTTTGAATATTTATTTGCGCTTTGTGTGAGAAATCTCAGGAAGAAAAAGTCATTGTGAATAAAAGGGACTGCAAATACCAGGGAAGTAGCTCTGTAGTTTTCATTCATGAGAATTTTTGCACAGGCTCCTGGGAGAACTATCAGGCAAAGTAATACAAAATCCCTTGTAGTGTCAAAGCTTTGGACATTCTGTAAGCCTCCTTGTCCAATGAAAAACATCTTTTCCTGAGAGCTGAGGGTCCAAGCTGGTTTGAGGGAGGTTTGTGGTTTAAGATTTTGGGTTTTGTTGCCCAGGTTTTTTTAATCCCAGGCAGCTGGGACTAATCTATCCACTATCTCTCCATTGAACAGAAACAGAGAGTACAAGTTAAGCTTTCTCACTGTTGGAGCCATGGGAAGGTGGGGGACCCACAGGGAAAAGCTAGTCAATGTGCAGGTCAGAACAGAACTTTGTACCACAGGTTTGGATTAGACAAGATCCCATCTAGGATCAAAATGACACTGAATGCCTAAAGAGTAGAGCCAAAGCAACCTTCTGCCTGGGAAAGTGAAAGCAGGATAGCAGTATCCGCTGAGGTTTTGGGGCTCAGCAATAAAAGCACCAGGACAAATTTACTCACAATTAGTCTTTATGGGCAAAAATATCCTATGGAATTTCATTCTTGCCGTAGAATTTTATAGGGCGGTTCAGAAACTTATAGAAAGGATATTGTTTTCCATTATCTTGCACAGGTTTTCAGAGCATTTCTCTAGAACCCTGTTGGTTTCAGCCCTGTTAAATTCAATAACTTCCCTAAGGGAGTGCTTTAAGTGTCAGGCTTGATTCAGTTATATAAAGGGATAAGGGAATAATCGTTAGACAGTACACGGGGATGGGAGAAGTGGTTTTGTGTGGCACCAGTCTTATTTAAGAACAGTCTGAATTTATAGATGAGGCTGATGAGAAAGTTGGAAGCAACTAACGTTAAGCGTAAAAGACAAAACCCAGGAAGTGCTTTTAGAAAGGGCTGTGATTAACTGGAATACCACAGAGACATGAGGATGTTTCAGATGAGTATTTTAAGTGTTTTTAGATGTTTGTCTTGGTTTCATCAAGATTATGTCCCATGTACTTTTCTTGCTATTCATAATGTAAGCTATTGGCACTGGAGTTTATATAACAGCCTGTATTGCTTACTTAGCAATTAACACATCCTGCAATTAGCAATCTGAAACACAGAAGTCTTTAATATTTCTTCTTACTGCTAACAGAATATTTTACTTCTAATATACTGTTGTCCTTGCACATTAATTTATTATGACAGTGTGAACCATGACTAATCCTTCTGAGTGCTGAGCACAGGCAGAGACCAAAAATCCGAATCAGCATCTCTCCTTCCAACTACTCATCTAGCATCCTCTCCAGAAATATGGGAGATGGACAAATGTGGTCTTCAGAAGACAAAGAGTGTGAAGCAGGGTGAATATCTCTATCCAAGACCTGCTGTGATTAGGAAGCACCTGCAGTAAGGAGAGATGACAGGGTGTGAGCTTTGCTTTACAAGGTGTTGCAGCAGGGGAGAGGCAGCTCCCAACAGCCAGGTTTCTAAGGGCACATGTGAGTTTAATGATGATCTGATAGACTTTTCAAAAAAAGCAGACAGGCCCAACTCCATTTCCTTCACTAGCAGACCAAATAACATGCATTTTTTCAGCCTATGACTCAAGACACTGAAAATTTCTGCTGCTAACTAAGGATATTTACCTACACTTCCCAGAAGATCTGCTTCATAAACAGGTTATCCTCAGGTTCTTCAACCTTCAGGAGACCCTCACCATCTGAGCCACATCCAGCCCCATTAGCTGGGACCCTTCAAGCCACACCCATGCACTGTGTGGTGCTTTCCCATGTCTGCATAAAATGATGCTCA